AAAGCTAAAGGTTCACGTTAAAGCTAAAGGTTCACGTTAAAGCTAAAGGTTCATGTTAAAGCTAAAGGTTCACGTTAAAAGCTAAAGGTTCATGTTAAAGCTAAAGGTTCACGTTAAACTAAAGGTTCACGTTAAAGCTAAAAGTTCACGTTAAAGCTAAAGGTTCATGTTAAAGCTAAAGGTTCACGTTAAAGCTAAAAGTTCTATTTCATCCCTACTGACCGCCAGAGGGCGGTGCTAAAAGCACTGAATGTTCCCTTCATGCGCTGTTCGAGCTGTATTACCAACAGAGTCACACCTGTGACCAATCGGATGACTAATCAGAGGCTATATAGCTTGACGTCATCCGAAGCTCTGCTCCTCTTTTCTTTTCACATACAGTTCGTTTTCTCTTGTGGAATATTTCGCCATCGTTTGGACGTCCCGATTGCTAGTTGGCTGGAGTAGCGGTGTATTGCCCTCCAAGGGACTGCGATGGACTTGTCTTCGAAACAAAGAGGTATCCGCTGTTTTGTTGGGGTGACGGCGTTTTTCGCCTGGTTCCCCAACTTGCAGCGTTTCTTTTTCTTATCGCTGTTGCTAAGTTTGATGAGTGAATTTGTTGGTGAAAGCAGCGTTTTTGTCCCCTCTCCCAACTTATTCAGCTTGAGTTTTGATTAGTTGAGCTAACGGTGTTAGCCTTCTTAAGTTAATGTGTGAATTTGTTGGTGAAGGCAGCGTTTCGCCCCCGCTCCCAACTTATTCAGCCTCAGTTCTTGTTACTTGAGCTAACTGGGTTAGCCTTTTTGAGTTGGTGCGTGAATTGGTTGATGACGACAACGTTTTCGTCCCTTCTCCCAACTTATTCAGCATCGAGGCTTGTTATTGAGCTAACGATGTTAGCCTTTCTGAGTCCTTATTTATTTTGTGAGCATGGACGGCTCCCACTGTTGTGCAAGTTGTGGAGCTGGGCTTGAGGTGGAGGATGGCCACAATCTGTGCCCTGCCTGCCTCGGACATGACCACCTGGTGGAGGCCCTGTCCGAGAACTCTTGCATGAATTGTATTTATGTGCCCCGCGCAGTGAGAGTGGCTCGGCTGGCCCAATTGGACCCCGAGCATGATTCTAGTCTCCCCCCTTCTGGTCAGGTGGCCGCACCTAGGCGCTCTAAGCGCAGGACTGCCACAGTCACTGTCGCCCCTTCTAAAAAGAGGCGGGTCAAACCTGATCAGGGCCTTTCCAGGCAGGTTGCACAGCTGTTTGCAGAGTTGGCAGAAATGAAATCTCTTTTTCAGACACGCAGACAGCTGGGTGGACCAACAGGGTCCCCAACCATGCCTGAGTTGACTAGGGAGGAGGACGTGCTGTCTTTGGCAGCCACTGCCTCTCACTTTAGAAGTGAGGAGGGGGCACAGTCGTCCCACGCTTCGGAGACGGGCTCACGCTGCTCGTCTCAGGGTGCTTCTAGTGCGTCAGGTGATGGCTCTATGCAGGATATTATGTGTCTGGCTCTAAATCAGTTACAGCTAGATGTTCCAAAGGTGGAGGAGTCCACCCCGGCAAGTGCCTTTTTCAGAAGAGGGTGGGCCCCCACCCCACCCCCTTTTCGGTACCTCCATCAGAGGAGTACCTGAGGGAGTTGCATGCCTGTTGGCGAGACCCTAGGGCCTTTTTGCGCCTAAACACAGATGGTTGGGTGTTGGCGGCTATGCATGATGCGGTCAAGGAAAGCTTGGCTCAAATGCCTTCGGTTGAACCTGCAGTTGCCTCGCTCCTTGTGCCACCGGATGAGGCTCTGCATCATGATGTTCGGTGCCCGTGGCCACAATGTCGCATTACAGATGACTTCATCTGTAAGGCTTATAATTCAGGAGCATATGCTGGCCGCCTTAGCAACTCCCTGGCACACCTCATGTTTGCCCTTTCCGCATCCCTTCAGGATGCTAATGGGACAAACACTGCCACCAGCTTTAGTGATGCAGCGCTTCCTCAAGGTCAACTTAGCAAAGAGCTGCCTGATTCCATCGCAGGCAACAACTTTTCTTGGGGTGTTCTTGGACTCACCCTCCATGACAGCCTACCCATCTGTTCAGAGGGTGGACGATGTTCTCCGGCACATCAGTCAATTCAGGCTGGGCAGGTGGCTTCCTTACCTTACCTTCCTGCAGCTRCTAGGCAAACTGACCTCACTCACCCGGGTCGTGCCCTTAGGTCTGCTGTCACTGCACCCATTTCAAATGTGGCTCAGTGGKTTTCATCTGGATGCCAGGCTTCACAAGCATCGCAAAATTGTGGTGACGAGATCTTGTCTGCGTACCTTGGACCCATGGAGGGACAGAGCTTGTTTGTCCAAAGGTGTCCCTATGGGGATGGTTGTGTGTCGCAGGGAGGTGGTCACGACAGACGCCAGCTCCATGGGATGGGGGGCTGTGTGGCAGCACAGAGCAGTTCGGGGCCACTGGAGTCACCAGGATCGTTCCAGACACATAAATGTGCTGGAGCTAAGTGCTGTGTTTCTAGCTCTCAGGCACTTCTTGCCCCACCTGGAGGGGAATCTTGTCCTGGTTCGATCGGACAACACCTCTGTGGTCTACCACATCAACCATCAGGGTGGCACCAGGTCTGCACAGCTCCTGAAGGTGGCCAGGGATCTCCTGAGATGGGCCTCCCCTCGCCTGTCCACTCTGTGGGCAGTTTACATACCAGGGCAGAACAACTGGGCCGCAGACTCCCTTTCTCAGCAGGCACCTGCTCCAGGAGAGTGGTCTCTCCACAGAGACATAGTGCGCATGATATGGGATCTCTACAGTCAGGCAGAAGTAGACCTGTTTGCCAGAGAAGAGTCGACTCATTGCCCTCTGTGGTATTCCCTTACGGGGGCATCAGGCGCACTGGGCCAGGACGCCTTGGCACATCCCTGGCCAAGAGTCCTTCTATATGCCTTTCCACCCCTTTCTCTGATTTGGCCGACTCTTCAGAGAGTTCTCGAAGAGGGCCACAGGGTGCTGCTGATAGCTCCGTATTGGCCAGCACGACCATGGTTCCCACTTCTACTGAGTCTGTGTCAAGACGCCCCATGGTGTCTTCCAACCAGGAGGGACCTATTGTCTCAGTTGGGGGGACTGATCTGGCATCCCAATCCTCAACACCTCAGGCTGTGGGTGTGGCCACTGGGAGGCTTGAGCAGCATCTGACTGGATATTCAGACTCTGTCAGGTACACTATTTTAAGTGCTTGGGCACATTCTACTTGTCAACAATATGAAAACAGGTGGCGTTTGTTTTCTCAGTGGTGTGCTGACTGCGATGAGGATCCAGTCTCCTGTGTGGCACCCACTATCCTGGAGTTTCTTCAATGTCTCCTCAATAAGGGCCGCTCTCCATTAACACTTAAGGTATATGTGGCGGCAATATCATCTAATCATGCTGTCGTTGATGGTGGTACAGTTGGAAGCCTTAATCTGGTTTCTCTTTTTCTGCGTGGCGCTCGTAGGTTGCACCCGCCAACAGTTCTGCGGGTACCTGCTTGGGATCTGCCCTTGGTCCTTGAAGCCCTGCGCCACCCTCCCTTCGAGCCTTTGCTTCAGGCGGACCTCAAATGGCTCTCATGTAAGACAGTATTTTTATTAGCTATTGTCTCAGCTAAAAGGGTCAGTGAGCCGCATGCTCTTTTTGCCAGCCCATCATGTCTCAAATGGGCCCCAGATGGCTCTGGTGTTACCTTGTGGCCAAACACTGCTTTTGTC